CCAGAAGAAGTGGTGGAGGCTGGTACAATTACAACATTTAAAAGACATCTGGCTGAGTATATTAAAAGGAAGGGTTTAGAGGGATATGGACCAAATGCTGGCAAATGGGACTACATTTATTTAGGATATCTGGTTGTTATAGACAAGTTGGACCAAAGGGTGCTGTATATCTCTATGATTGTATGACACTGTAGTGTTAAAACAAATTTTATTTTATACTTAAACTGTTCCATATTTGCCAACATCAGGCTGAAGTGCAACACGTTTTAACACATGGTAAAGGTCTTTGTATAATGCATCACTAGTTTTAAATGGAGAAAAAAACTCTGCACCTGCTTGTCAGCTTCCTATTTTCTGATCATATTTTTATTCTAAGAGCTTCTGTATTCAAAGATGTGCTCCAGATATTAAAGTATGCTTTTTATTAACCAAATAATTATTCATTCAAGTTACCAAATCAAAGATTTTTTTAATGTCTTTTATTCCCAGTAATCTTCCATTAAATCTTTTAGGATAATGATGAAAAGAGTTATGCTAAAAATTATGTTTTTGACTGTATTTTCCTGCACCTATTACTGTGTGGAAAATTTTTGCCTTATTTTTGGGGGAAATGCTGAACTTGCCTGCTTGAATGGAAGAACCTGAACAAAGTTTTACATTTGTAAAATGCCTGTAAGATGATCTTAAGACGTGAGATTTAAAAACAAATTGGTACTACAGCTATATCTGTACATAGAATCCCTAATATAGGTATTTTCTAATAAATCTGAGGTATTAAGGATCCATAGGGTATCTTGACTGTGATTAGAAAGTTGTAAATGAATGGCTGTCCCTAATCTGGATCATGTGTAGTCATAGTCCGCAGTGAAAACACATGGAGGGTCAAAGCGGCATAGAATGAAAAAGAACATTTTTAGGGGAATGATCAGCTACTAGACATGCTAAATGACCCAGTGATGGGAATAGTCGATCGGTGACTGATACACAACTCAAATCAGGCAATTTTTACAATGTCATACTGGAAGGAGTGCAACTAAAGAAGTCAATGCTAAATCGCAATACTTGGCTGGAAGGGTCAATGATGCAGGAAGTTGTCACCATGTGAAATTATTTTATGAATAACACAAATATTTGAATTCTGAGGTTAAAAACTGTCCTGGAAATGGACTGACCTAATGATTATGAAGCATGTACAGTTCCACAAGACTTTGCATTGTGTAGTTTGTTTATTTAATTCCACAAAGCATGGTTGAAATGGTTTCACCTCACTCCTTAATGGTCTAGCCCTTAACTTTAAGGTTTTGAATTTATTGTATATGTTTGAATTAGAAGCAAGATTTAATAAGATCATGACTGATTTGAGTTTGGCCCACACAACAACAGGATGATATATAGAGCAATAATTAAAAATAGTTTACAAACACTAACAAAAGTGTGGCAAAATCTTTTTATATAGTTTCTCAGCAATGATTGAGCTTGTGTGCCCATTCATCAATTTTACTTAGAAGAACAAGCATTCAAATCGGGAGTAGGAATATGCTACTTAGCCCCTCAAGTCTTCTCTGCTATTTAGCAAGGTTATGGCTGATCAAATTACTCCACATTACCAGCTATCCTGATGCCCTTTTTTCCCTTGGTTACCAATGATTTATCTATTTCTGTCTTAAAAACTATTCCGTCTTAGTTTCCACTGTGTTTTTGAGTAAGACATTTCCAAAGATTCATGACCATCTGTGAGGAAAACAGCCATCCCGAATTCAGATTCTTTTCACATTTACCCTGTCAAGATCCCTAAGGATCTTGTATATTTCATCCAAGTCACCTAATATTGTTCTAAACTCTGGCAGTTACAAACCTTAACATGTCCAACTTTTCCTCCTAAGACAATCTGCCCATTCCAAGTATTAGTTGACTAAAGGTTTTCTAAAAGAAAGCCAGTCGATTTTCCGGAATACAACCCAAGAATAAACGTCACTCTTAGTGACAAGCTCCTAACCATAAGCACTATTTCAATTTGCAAGGCAATGACTTTGGAGTTGGATATAGGAAAAAAATTGCAGAAATGCGAGATCAGTGCGACTTCATGGTCCTGCATTTTGTTCATGTAGGTGGTTCATTTGTGGTCCAGATTTTGGCAACATTTTAAGTTTAGCCAATGTCTATAGATTGCTTTGAGGTTTATGTGGATGTGCAGAAATAAAAATTAATAGCTTCGGAAAGGACATAATTTTTGAATCAGTTATGTCAGAAAATATACTTCATTCCATTCAAGTTTTAACAGTGTTTTGAAGAAGGGACAATGATTAAACGTTAAGTAATGAAACTCAAGTCCAAACTACAATTGAAAAACAGGAGAAAGTAAAATCATTCCAAAAATGTTTGCTAGCCAGGCTCAGTACTTAAATTTGGTACGATATGTACTTCACAAGTAAGTGATGCACAATGTTTGTTTATTTTATCTAAGGAAATGCTTCTAAAACCGCAAGATCAATCACAGTTGAAGCTTGCCACAAACTTCAGTATAAAGAGTTTGTATGTGTCTCATGCCTTTCATGACCTCTGTCTCAAAATACTTAATAGACGACAAATACTTTTGAAATGTAGTCACTTGTAATGAAAGAAATGTGGCAACCAATTCTCACACTAGTTCTTAAACAGCAAAAAGATAATCTCTTTCAGATATTGGTTGAAAGATGTAAATCAGCCAGGAACTAGGGGAAACATTCCTGGTCTTTTTCATATAGTGCTGTGGGATCTTTTGTGAGGGCAGCACTGGCCTTGGAGTCATCCAAATGGTGACAGGAAACCTTGAAGTTCAACACACTCTCAGTAAATGTTGATTTGAATTATCTGCTTAAGCATGACACTATCATGTAACAAGCAAACAGCTGGAGATTGTGTAACAGAATCAGCTGTAGAGATAGTAGAAGGGTCTCGACCCGAAACGTCAGCTTTCCTGCTCCTCTGATGCTGCTTGGCCTGCTGTGTTCATCCAGCTCTACACCTTGTTATCTCAGAATCAGCTGTAGCTTAATTTTAAATCATTGGGTGTGGGTGTTACTGACAAGGTCAGCATTTGTTCCCTATCCCCGATAGTGCTCAAGAATGTGGCAATGTGCTACAGGTACACTCTCAACCCTGCTAAGAAGGAAGTCCCAGGATTTTGATTCTGTGATAGTGAAGGAACAACAATAAAGATCTAAGTCACAATGATGTGTTTCCACATCAGTGGTGACAGTGTCACCAAAACGGTCCCCAAGGGGATTGAGGGCTATGGGGTTGGTTGGGAAAATGGAGTTGAGGTAGAAAATCCTATTGAATGGCAGAGCAAACTCCTGCTCCCATTCTTATGAAAACAGATTGTTGGAACGTTCACCCATTCAGTGTCTTCCTTCTTCACTTATAAGCTAAACCTAATCACAGGAGCTTGGTCTGGTTTACTGAGAGATAAAGGGAGAGGAATTGTACTTTAGATTTGACAGAGTTCCAAATTCCTATAACTTTTTTTTTGTTCACATGCAGTAGAAAACTGGAAACTAGGTACTGGGCAATGCCAACTGCCCCAGTCTGGTGAGCAAGATGGAGGCAGTCCCTCAGACACGTTAACTGACCTCATAATGATGGCAGGAGTTGAGGGGGCATAACCCAACCATCCTCTGCAGCTAAAATTTGCTGTACACCATATAGTATTGGGCTGGATATCTCAACATTACTGTTCATGATTATCAGTTTTATATGACACCAAGACGGTGGGCATTTCCTTTTATTATTTACTGTAATGCTGAGCTTTAATTACTTGCTATTCTAGATCTTTACAGTTGTTGAATACAGCTTTAAAATTACATATCGTTATTCAAGGTTTTTTTGTGAATGTTGTGAAAGAAAGTAGTTAAGTTGAAGTAATTGTACACTTTAATTGGTGTCTGTAGATTTTAATTAAGGTTTTGTTCTCTCACTCTTTCAGGAAGCGGCGAAGGAACTGTAACAATGAAGAAAACCATTCTGTCCCACCACCGAAACGTCTCAGCAATAGTACATTGTTGCAGGATCTACCAAGAGACAGCTGGGACTGCGAGGTTAGAAACAAACTGTAAAATTGTAGTATTAAGTAGCCCAAGGACTGTGACCTTCAATCAAATTGTCTGAAAGTGATTTCTCCTGTTCCAGAATAAAAAGCTAGCTATTAAATACTGTTGATTGTTGTAAATACCCAGCTGGTTCAGTAAAGCCATTTAGGGAAGGAAATCTACCATCCTTACATGATCTGGCTTACATGTAACTCTAGACACGTAGCAGCGTGGTTAACTCTTAACTACCCTCTATACAATTAAGGGTTGATACTACATGCTGGTCCAGCCAGCAATGTTCATATCTCACAAACAAATTAGAAGTAATTTTCCCAGCTGATAAAAGACACATCCAAACCAATATCTGGTGAATATCAGAACACCCTATTGCCTTTTGTAACCAAATTAATAAAAAGGTTTTTAAGATATTTCTAATTAGCCTATTCAGAGATGTTGCGACTCACCCCTGGAGCAGGTGGAACTTGAAATCGGGCCTCCTGGCTCAGAGGTAGGGACATTACCGTTGAACCACAAGAATACTTTGAGGATTTAAAACAAAATTCAAAATCTTTTTATTTAACCTGTTATTCTAATCAATCTGTTCAGAGATGTCATTACATACCTCTGGAGCAGGTGGGACCTGAGCACAGGCCTCTCAGTCCAGGGATAAAGACACTACCACTGCGCCAGAAGAGCTGTTAGAATCACTTTGGCTTACATTGATTTTCCAGCCTGCAGTTAACTCTTCGTGTTTTTTTTAAGAAGAGATATTTTCTAATCAACCAGTTCAGAGATATGATGATACAGATTAAGGGTGGCACAATGGCTCAGTGGTTAGCACTGCTGCCTCTCGGTGTCGGGGTTCAATTCAAACCCTCAGGTGACTGTCTGTGTGGAGTTTGCACATTCTCCCCATGTATGTGTGAGTTTCTTCCGTGTGCTCCAGTTTCCTTCACACAGCCCAAAGATGTGCAATTTAGGTGGATTGGTGATGCTAAATTGCCTGTTGTATTCAGGGAGTGTAGGCTTGGTGGATTAGTCATGGAAAAAACGGAGTTACAGGATTGGGGGGGGGGGGGGTGGGGCGCGTGCAGCAGTGGGGGGCGGGGTGAGAGGTGGGTCATTGTGGGATCACTGGGGCTGAATGGCCTGCTTCCATGTTATAGGGATTTTATGATTCTACTTCTGGAGCAGGTGTGACCTGAATCCAGGTCTCTGGCTGAGAGTTAGGGACACTACCACTGCACCACAAGAGTCCTGATTGAGGTTTTTAAATTTTTTTTATTTAACCAATTTTTCTAATCAACCTCTTCAAAGATATTATTACACACCTCTGCAGGTGACACTTGAATGTGGGCCTCCAGGGGTAGGGACACAACCTCTACACCACAAAAGTATGCCCACTGAGATTTTTTAAACATTGGATGGTATACAGAATTCGGGTTAAGGCAATTGCAGCAACATAAAAGTTCTTTAGCAAACAGTGGCCGAGTTGGATACTTTCTGAACTCTGGTTCAGCAGATCTTCAGCTAACTTTGCTATTCTGCAGGGAAGGTGCTGCTGTCTGGGAAACTATTCAAGAGGAAAGGCTGTCCAAAATGCTTGTTTTCCCTCCACATTGGGGTGTAGCTAACAATTCCGCTGTGTAAATTTCACATTGATTTATGTATTAGTAACTTAGCTTGGTTAAGTTGAAGAATTGAGACAAATTAAGCCTGCAACCTCTGGTTAGCTGGCTTTCAAATTCCTGACTGAAGGCTTAGAAAGTCTTTTCATCTGCCAATTGGTTTCAACTTTTTTGAACTTTCCTAATCTGGAGGATTGGAAAATTGTACTCCTCCATTTAGTGAATTTGGGTTTTAGTATTTATAACAAGGGAACAGTCTTTTCCAAGCCTATGTAAGTGGAAAGTTTAAAATGTGAAACAACTAGCATAAGAAATACCAGTGAGCCAGTAATCAAGAATCTGTATTGGGTAGGGAAGGCAAATAATATGACTGACATTTCCCAGTACACTCGTCTGCCTGGATATGGACTGCAATGAACAAAAGGTTTCCCCAGCCTGCCAAATTTAGCATATATCCTGATGACTCTGCCACTGCCTGTGTCACTGTTTCTCCGTAAGATGTCTTTACGAATTACGATGTAATTTGTATAATTATGATACCAGTGAATGATACCAGTGAATTTGATATTCTTTAAGTGTGGCGTTACCTTTCCTAGCATTGAAAGGTGGGCTGCTGTCTAGTTCCAATTTTACTAGTTCAACCAATGAGAAACCCATGAAAGAATGCTGCAGCCATTTACTGTGTAATTCCACCAAAGAATGCCTTGTTTCTTTGTTAAAATACATGGGGATGGTATTGGTATTCAAGTAGAACTAAGGAGCTTTCTGGCTTCACAATGATCATATAATGTACCAGATGCTAATACAAGGAAATGTGGATACATTTAACTTGTGCTGAGAAGTTTCAATTGTATGCGTGATATTTGTTAGAGTAGCATTCTAGAGTTTTTCTCACCACCTAAACACACTCTTCTTTCTGCAGTCCTCAAGCAGTGACAGCAGCAGTATAGTCAGCAGTCCTGACAGACCGAATGGACACTTACCAGCTGAAGCCAATACTAAACCAGGCAACAGCTCGACTATGCTTCCGTTTTCTGATTCCAGCGAACAGTCTGCACAAGGCCCGTACTTTCAAATCAATCAGATCCTGAGGGAGGCACACTTCTATAGCTTACATCAACGTGGACACCAAACGTGACCAGAATGGGACTGTGTGCCTTCAATGAAGGACAGAGACTGTAAATGTAATCTTTTGGAGTGGATGTTTGTACTTAGATGATTTAAATTGCACAATCTTTTTCCTTTTTTGCTCCATTTGGTTAAAAGTTTAACATCTTTTCACTTTTTAAATGCCCTTGGACAAATGTAATATCAAAATTGTGCAGGCTATAATGGCACAACTGTAGCCTTGATTGCTTCATTTACTCTGTTTGGCACTATTCTAATTTAGTAAATCTGTTCACTGTGGAATTAATCTGCAAATAAGCAAAGTCCTCCAGTGATGTTGCAACAGGAGTTCTTGAAGAAACAAGAAGAAAGTGGCTATTTTTGAAAAACAGTAGGGTCAACTTGGACTAAAAAATGTTTTTGCATTCCACTGCATTTTAAGAAGTGATGTGTACTGGAATATGACCAGTTTGAGCGTCTTTTAAAATAATCTTACTGTACTAGGCTTACAACAGTTTTCTTGGTATTTTACAACCAATTTTTCCTTGAGGCTCTAATACTATAGCTGAAAATTTCCACTTATTGTGAAATTGCATTGCCATTCAGAGACCGAAGCAGATACAGTAGTGGAATTTCTATCATTATTTGAGTAAAAAAATGAATGCCTCTGCAGATCTAAGCTGTATGCTTGGAGTTTTTTTTTTAAAAATCGGGCTTCATTCCAAGAATTTTCATTCAACCAAAAAAATGTGAAGATGGGTTGTGTCAATCTAGGTTTCCGTAGTTCTTTGTATTGTGCTGGGCCTGCATTTGATACAAGTCATCTTGTACTAAACCTGAACATGTCCTTAAATACAATATAGCTTAAACATTTTCTTTAAATTATGCCTCCAGTTGTAAGCAGATTGTAGATATTTATATTTTGCCGGTTTTGCATGCATATGTGCTTGGTGTTAAGACATTCAGACAGCCGTCGAGAGCTTCCTAGATAGCTCAGTGACTAGCTGAGCTGCACAGACCATAAAGGTTTGAGTTGTTAATTTTCTCAGCTGGGGCAACAGTATAGAGAATCCATAATTGAAGATGTGCATCCAGGGACAGGTTCAGACAAAGTACAACATAAGGTTCAGTCACAATGACCCTTGTGCTCAAATTAGCTGCTGACAACTAGACGAGATGTGCCAGAGGATGCCTTTGGAACTGTCTTAACTGGGAGTCACACTTCTAGGAGTTTGTGAGGGTAGTCACAAAAAGAAAGATAATTTTTTCTCTTTTTAATTATTTTATATTGTTATGATTGGGTAAACATGTAACAGGTATGACACAGTCAATGACATTCCTAATTACTCTCAAACCTCAGGGTGCATATGCCTGACTCTTGATTTGGAATGGGGTTGGGAATTTGTTCTTTGTCAGGGATTTTTTTTTTTAAAAAAGTTATTCGAGAGTTTGAAATTTTATTTTATTTGTAAGTCTAAAGATACCAAGTTTAACCTTCAGAAGTGAGTACAAAATTATTGTAACCATTTGCATTCAATAAAATCAATAAGATAATTTGAAATGCAATCAAGAATACAGTGTGGAAGCCCGTAATACATGAACAGAATCTTTCATATTGTCTTCAAGGTATTGAGGCTGAAGGCACTGTGTGCTTTTCTAAGCAACAACTGTTAAATTTTTATATACCACTTGCACTGAAGATCAGGTTCAGTTTGGAGCACTGACAGGATAAGATTCCTGACAATTTTCTCTTAAGTTGTCCATTTCTGGCTGGTTGTGGAAGCAGCTTGGCTGCTAAAACGTGTGTTCCTATGACCAGTGATTTGCTGAGAAATAAATCCCATCAATTTGAACCTTTTTATGGTTTGTGGGTTTTACAGTCCAATTGCACTCAGTTTTATTCATAAAAATATCACTGATAAATTTAACTCAACAATTAAAGTTACATTTGAGCTGCACTTTATCTCCAAACTAAACTCATGTTGATGAATAATCGAAGAATTGGTCTTCTGGACTACAGGTAAAGTTCTATTTTGGTATCTGTTGTTTTAATTTATGGAAGTGAAAATATCTTCTGTTGACAAATTTGCATATCACAGTATCACACTTGTCTTTTTGAACAACTAGGATAGGATTGCAACATACAACTTGAAGATCTAAAATTGCAGCCAATTTATTTTCAAGGAATATTTTTAGAAATGCTATAATTCATTGCATCACAGAGTGGGTAGAGTATAATTCTATGCCTGTAGTTCCTTTTAATCGTATAATTGAGTAGCTGCCATGAACATCATAGGTAGGAAGAAAATAAATTCTACAGCAAATAGTTAAAAATTATTGCACTGTTTCTGTATTTAAAATGGTTATAATCTTACTGAAATTGCATTCCATGTTCTTCGCTGTAAAGCAGAACAAACAGGGAAATTATGCTTTTTCTAATTCACTCAACATTACATGGGTAGGTCATCGATGGAGCTCAGTAAAACACTATGTGGGGGTTCACAGTTGAAGAAGCAGGCAGTATGATGGAATTTAACTGTCAACAATAGTTTCTAGTGGCTAGTAAGGCATGGATGATATTTTAACCTGGTTTGTTTACATCAACTAATTTATGATTTTTGAAACTCAATCAATTTTGAACCAGATACAATAGTTTGGTAATTTTTTGTTTGCCTTCAACCGACTTACTTATAGTGGGTTTACAGTTTAGAGTTAAAGTTTAGTGTTTGGAGTTAAAAATGAATTTGCTTGACATTTAAAGTATAAAAAATAAATCATGGCTGTACAAGAGCTCAAACATATTGTTAAAGCCAAAAATGCATCTGTTTCTTAGAGATTCAGGTTTCTTTTTCGAGAAAATCCATTTCTTGCTTTCAACAATTTTGAAATAAAATTTATTTTACCTAAATTTCTGACTCGGTCTTTAATTTCAGAGTTATTGAAAGCACAGGCAATTTTGTAATGCTGCACGTTTTCAACGTAATTTGTTTTGAGTTGCCTTGGTTCTCCACTCTGTGAAAATGTAATTCATGCTAGTGACAGTCATTCTGATACTCTCTATAATCCTTAAATATAATTTATACAAGTGTTAAGCAGATGTTGAAGCAAGGGGTATTAAAATATGCTTCCTTAATACTGAGGTTAGGTCTCTTTAAATACAGATATGTGACAGTTTGTCAATGGAAGAAACCTCCGAGGTCCTAATGTGGATTAAACTGGCACAAAACCAAGGTTGAGGAGGGGTTTGACTTGCAGCAGAAAAGTGAAAGAAAATCGTTTATTAATGATAATGAAGTGGTGATTTGTACACTTGAATCACAGGCATAGTGGGCAAAATTTAACATGTTATAAACATAATATGCTGATGTTTGTACATTTCAGGATACAAGTTTCAATATGGTCCAGCCTAGGAGTATTTTTGGGACGGTAACAAAGCATATTGATGTGATTCATTTGACTGCAGTTTTCATAGTTAACTGGAAAACCAACATCAATTTGCAGACACAATGTAGATATATCATATTGGAAAATAAATCTTTGCAGGTACAGTAATGAGTTTAAAATAACATTTTAGATGTGTGTGCCACCTTTGATTTTACCCGATTACAAAAAATCTTTATCTCATCCTTTGCTATGAGTTGTAGGTAGGGGCTGGCTTTCATACTTACTGGTTGCCTCAATATCTCAAAAAACAGATTCTGATCATTGTTACAGTATTTCCCGACAAAACTACTGAAAACATGGAGTTCAGTGCAGAGAAGCGTTAGGAGATATACTATGTCTCCACTTTCTTTGTACCAAAGTGTCAGGCTTCGTTCGTTCATTTGGCTAGACACCTGGTTTGCGATGCAGAGTGACACCAATGGTGTAGATTCATTTCCCATACTGGGCTCTTAACCTCGCCTGAGGCACATTGATGCTCACGTTAATCCACTATTAGTCGCTCTCAAATGAGAGTGTATTCCTACGGTTTGGCACTAAATCAAGATGCTCAGAGACCAAGTGCAGATAATGGGCCAATGGCCTGTACCATAACACTTCTGTTATCAAACCTTCCTAGAGGCCAACATTGATCTCTCCCTTCCCTTCAAACCCCACTTCATAGTATCCAAACCAACTACTTCTATCAATGCAGCAACATCTGCTTCCAATCCCATTTCAACCTTAGGAACTGGGTTGGTCAGCAAACGCAGACACGAGTAAGTGAGTTTTAATTTGTTTAAAGTATGCACAACAGAATTCTGTCAAAATAAACAACTTAATTCTCACAGCAAATAGGAGTAAGATTATGCCACATGCTTTGTCCATTTTCCACCTTTAAAATGATCACGACTGGCATTGGGCTTCAACTTCACTTTCCCACTCTCCCAATATCACTTGATACTGAGACACTAAAAATTTGGCCATCCCAACCTTAAATGTTTTCAACGACAAAGTACTCACAAACCTCTTGTTGGAAATTCCAAACACAGTAAACCTGTTGAGTGATTAATTTCTCCTCAGTTTTCCTCAGGATTGCTCCATTATCCTGAGACTATCCCCATCACGTCGATTCCATAACCAGCAAAAATAATCTCTCAACATCTACGCCATCAGTACTTTTCATAATCTTTTGTACTTTGAGGAGATCAAACCTCATTCAGAGAACTCCAAGAGAACACTGGCTCAATTTACTGAGCTTCTCATCAGCATAAACCCTTACCCTAGGAACCAATTTAGTAAGCTTTTTTGTACAGCCACATTTTGTAATTCGCGCATACCCTTCCTTAAATATGGAATCAAACCACACACTGTATCCAGATATAGTCTCACCAAAAACTATGTTCAAGTATAGCAAGACTTGTTTTTATTCCTGTACTCCAATCCTTGCAATAAAGGCATGAAATATGCCTTCCTAAATGCTTCTTGTACCTACATGCTAACTTCCTGTGTTCCCTATATGAGCACATCCAAATATCTTTGAATAGCAACACTTTGAAGTTTCACACCTTTCAAAAAATACTCCGAATTCTATTTTTACAAATGAAGTGAATAACTTTACATTTTCCCATGCTATATTTCTACTGCCATCTGGTTACATCTCTTCACAGACTCTGTCCCACAGATGACCTTTTCACTTAGCTTTGTATCATCAGCAAACTGAAGAAACGTTACTCTGTCTCTTTTTCTGTCCTTCATATTTTAAACAGCTGACACCCCAGCACTGATCCCTATGACACACCACTCGTCTCAGCCTGCTAACTTAAAAATACCTTGTATATGCCAATTGTCTTTCATCGATTAACTGATCTTGTGTTGATATATCACCCACCAAATACAAGCCCTTTATTAACTTTTTGTGTGGCACCTTATCAATACATTTTATTCTCCTTTATCTACTAGTAATGTACTAGCTATCTACAGTTTAAAAAGTTCTGACAAATTTGTCAAACAAGACTTCTAATCATACTATACTTTTCCAAGTGCATGAAGACTTCTTCAATAATTCATTGCAGCGTTTTCAAAGCTACCGATATTTGACTAATTGGATTGCAGGTCACTTTTCTTGTTTTTGAAAATGGAGCTTTACATCTACCAACTTCCAATCTGATTGGACTATTCCTATTTTAAGGAATTTTGGAGAATTATAACTAACATATATGTCAGCTCTGCAGCCTAATCTTTTGTTAAAAACTCCTATCAGGTAGAGTATCTGTTTCCAGAGATTTGTTAGACTTCAGTCCCTTATGTTTCTCCAATACTCGTTTTCTTGCTGATGATAATCATTAATTTTCTCACTATTTCACCCTCCTAGGTTGCCCTCTTTATGGTATTCAACTTGTTTCAGGGAACAACATTTATTTTACTACTCTCTTGCTTTTTAAATACTTAAAGGCCCTCATACTCTTTCTAATCTTCTCTTTTATCAAACTTTGGGTGGCACTTTCCTGGTGTCAGAATTACTACTGTTCTTTGCAACATTATAAGCCTCTTTTAATCTAGAACTACCGACAACTTCTTGAGTGAGCCAGGGTAGGCCTTGATTCAGGGGTGGTTTTTCCTTGCTGAGCTTTTCTTTTTCAGTGGGATGTATTTTTGTTGTAAATTTTGATTGTTTCCCCTTGTTTATTAGCTACCAAACATTTTAATCTATTTACCTATTCAATCTTATGTCCCCTTATGCCAATTACATTGGTATTATAGGAAACTAAGATTAAATAGGTAAATTGACTTTGTTTGAAGGATCTTATTTGAGATTTAAGTATTTAACTTCCAAACTTTACATGGAATTTGTACTATGTCTGCCATTTCCCAACGGCATTACTAACTAGGTCTCTGGACAGGGCTAGTATTGTGTAATGTGGCAGGGTTAATTAAAGATATTTTATAATCAATTTGTTCAAAGATGTTATTACACATTTCTGGACCAGATGGGACATGACCCTGAGTTCAGAAGTAAGGATACTGCCACTGCCACTGCCACCAAAAGTCCTTCTTCCCACATCATTCTTTGAGCTATGCATTTAGTCTCTAGTCTGCTTGACACTATGGCAATTGGCACACAGCTCAGGTAACAGCTTAGATATGATTTTGATTTTCCGTGTTTTCATTTGGATCCTAACTCATCAATCTCCTACGCAGACTGGAATTGTTGTTCAAATATGTCATTGGTTCTCACATGTGCCGCTGGATGCTCCCCTCCAGCTGCAAGATGTCCTTAATTCTGGAACATGGCAGGCAACAACTTAAGAGCTCCTGGTCTTAGCTGCAGGGAACTGTATCTAAATTGCCTCTTACCATTACATTCCTCCTGACTTGAATAGCATCCTGCACCCATGGTCAGATCGTTCACCACCCTGTAGTCTTTCTCATCTGTACAGGTAGCAAGCACCTCACACCTATGGAAAAGTCTGGGGCCAAGACCACTCCATTACTATAAGCTAGTTGCTCTTATCCTTCTAACCCATGGTCACCCCTCTCGTCCGTGACACTGACCAAGCTAAGAAATGAGAGTGCCCCCAGAATAAAGTATTCAAGTAACTCAAAATATTCACACTCAAGCTCAGCAATCCATGTGAAGTTGCGCAACAAGATGACACTTAGTGCAGATAGTTATCAGAGATTACAGGGCATTCCATAGATTCCCACATGCTGCCTTTATGACAAAACAACAACAAACCAGAAACACTAATGGATGCATTGTGGTATCATAACAATTTAGTTCAGCATACAGTTATACAGCACAAACAGAACCTTCAATCCAACCAGTGCATGCTGACCGTAATCCCAAACTAAACTAGACCCACGTGCCTCCACTTGACCCATATCCCTCCAAACATTTCTTACTCATGTATTTATCCAATCATTTTTTGAACGTAAAATGCATCCACCACTTCCTCTGGAAGTTCACTCCACACATGAACCAGTCTGTGTAAAAGAAGTTGCCGCTTATGTCTTTTTTAAATCTTTCTCCTCTCACCTTAAAAATGTCGCCTAGTCTTGAAATCCCCCACTCTAGGGAAAAGATACCTACCATTGATCTTATCTATACCCCTAATGATTTTATAAACCTCTATAAGGTAACCCCTCAACCTCCTACACTCCAGTGGGTAAGAAGTCCCAGCCTATCCAGCTTCTCCTTATAACTCAAACCCTCCATTCCCAGCAACATTCTTGTAAATCTTTTCTAAAGCCTCTCCAGCTTAATAATATTCTTCCTACAACAGGGCGATCAGAACTGGACACACTACTCCAGAACAGGCCTCAACATGATGTCCCAACTCCAACACTCAAAGATCTGAGCAATGAAGGCAAGTTGCTAAACGCCTTCTTAACCACCCTGTCTACATATGATGCAAACTTAAAAGAATTATATACCTGAACCCCTAAATCTCCCTGTTCTACAACATGACCCAAGGCTCTACTTTTAGTTGTATAAGTCCTGCCCTTGTTTGTTTTACCAAAATGTAATACCTCGCATTTATCCAAATTAACTAAAATTTTATCCAAACTCCCCACCTTCCCTTACTTTTCGCTACTGCCAAAAGTCTCTATTATATCTCATCTTACCAAACTTTTGCTTGTTACCAGTTTTTTAACTCCATCCCTCCTTTCTGAAGCACCTGCTATCATTTTGATGTTACAAAATCGTTGTACAAGTCCAAGCTGTCATTTGTAAAGCTTCTACTGATCCCAGCATACAAACTTGTTTGGAATGCATAGATGCACTGACTGGAAAGACAATACAATGTTAGCTTTCAAAACATTAACAGACTTAAGACACTCAAATGCCAATCCTAAAAACAAATCTCCCTAAAGACAGAATGTGGTTGGCAGCTGTGAAATGGCATACTCTGGGAATATATTAGCATTATTTCCCTTGCACAGTCTACAAACATTCCCCTCAAGATAATTAATTTCTATCTTTGGCTGTGACATCTCACTAGCACAGCATTTGATTTGGCCTTAGGTTAAACAACAAAAGTAACAGAAACTACTCAATGAAAACATTAAAAATGCACGTTTATTATTCAGCAGCATTTGTAATACACTGAAACCATTCTTTGTGAACTTGATTATGCAGACACTTGTGATAAGCAGAATCATATTCAGAAACGAGAATATTTTCATTTTCACACACCTGCAGTAAGCAGTTAACCAACATGATCTCCGCACTCAGCAATATGACAAGTTGGTACTACAACCGAACCACTGAAATCTGCACTTGACCTGTTTTCATTTAATCATATTTAGTATTGTATACTCTTTCAAAGCATGCCTTGATTATTACATGTGAACTTAAATAGATTGTAAATTCTTTCCAATTTATTGATATATAAATTTTCAAACCACAAACATATTGTTCCTGAAGTATGCTGCAGAAGAATGTATGACATCCAGGTTATGATGGTTTTGCAAACAAAACAAACGTTAGACAACCACCTTAAACACAGTAACATTAAATACTACCATTTTGGTTGGTTTGAAGGCACAAAATGCATCATTTGCATTCAATAGGTACTGAAGCCACCAGTTTTGCAGGCTGCTTGATAGTGTCTGATGTCACTACAAATATCAGATTCCGAAATCTGGATTTTGATGAGCAGGGAAGGTAGAGTTCCGTTCATGTTCACATCTTAGCAGGAATAATCAAAAAAACTTGTGCGTGAAAATTTACTTTTGGTTCATGGCTGAATGAACACAAAGGTTCAGACACTGTGTGACGAGGACGGTGTATTAAGAAAGGAGAATACAGATGGCTGGTTACATTCAGAATCAGTTTGTCCTAGATTACCATGCAGAAGCTTCACCTCAGTTGTACTGCATGCTGGTGTTTTCTTCTGTTCTGGTAATGTGTGCATTTCTGTGCACGATTCTTGGTTAAGACAGGACTTCGGAAATGGAGGTGTGTCATGTACCAAAAGAACCATATCAGCAAACAGGGAGAGTTTACTATCCTTCGTGTCTTCAGAGGCTGTGCTCTGGCCCAGTACAGATTGTAACTTGGGTTCTGCAGTTACTCTCTTTTGCAGTTCACAATGCAAATGTTTCTCAGTCACAAAAGGGAATGTGTTTGGGTTCACAATTTGTGCTTCTGAATGTAGTTGATCTTTTTCAGTGTCAGCTGAAATGGATGTTATTTCAGTTACTTTTTCTGTGTGCTGAGTTTTAATGTCTGATATTGGAAGAGATGGAAATACTGGTCCCTGATTTTCCTGGGAGATTGAGGCTCCTTCTGATAGCACAGGTAAACTCAGTGACAATTCCTGTTTTTTATCCAATTGTGAAGTCTTCTCTAACCCAGGATGAAACTGCCATGGTTGAATCAACATTTTCCCTTTCAACTCTGAAGTGAAGTTGGTTAAAGGTGTCACAGCATTACATGACATGTCAGTGGAAATAGAGAGAGGCATTTCTGACTCTGAACTCCGAGTTGCTGGCCTATTCCCAACCAAAGCTTGAAACTGCCTCAGAATCTTTAAAAAAGAACAAAACATTAATGTTATCTGCATCTTTGATCACTGTAACTTGGCACCTCCTGAGGTGCACACTGTCAGGAGTTTTCACCTCCCTTACTGCTAGTCATTATTCTATGCAAATACTGACTGATTGTCTTTTAAAATAAAATGTTTGTTCCAAATACAGGAAGCAGCACTTTGAAAGCTATTCTCAAGGGTTCCTCCAAAGTGTGCATTCATTTCTTTCTGGCTCATATATTTATTTATTTATTATACACCATGTTTTGCTGCCAAATGCGAGTTTTAAAAGACACACTCCAGTTTTGTGCAGGTGCGTACAGTGCTCGACCTAGCTGTGGCTATGAACATAGCTTTTTAAATTCTCTGCTTAAGAGCATTACCAGAAACAGGCAATTCAATAGCGCCTTTAAGGTAGCAGGACATCCCAAAAGGATGTGCCCTTTCATCCTCCATTTTATGTCACCTCTCAGATCAATGGTAAAGGATCAGAGCTTCTCCAAAGGTGAGAGAGAGGCTGATAACAATTATAACTCCCATCAAGCTAAGCCTGTCGACTATTTGCAACAGTCTTTAGTTGGAGATGTACAGACTCCTTTGTTCTTTTATCTTCACCATTTCTTCAAGAATGCAGTGCCATTCCAAAGAAAAATACTCTTCCCACATTCTCCCACCACCATTAAGAAATAACTCACACTTATACTACACAGTGTAAAGTCCACACAACATAACAAAACCCTTCAAAACCAACGAGTTAGTGAGAAGTGCAATCAATGCTGCATAAGCAAATAGGCAGGCAACTTGCACACAGCAACAAATAGTTTGATGAATAGAAGCTATCTGTTTTTGGTTGAGGGAAGAATGTTAGCTATACACAAGAATAATTTTCTGTTCTTTTTCAAATAATACCACATGCATTTAAACAATCAAAAAAATCATCACAGTGCCACATTGCCCTATAACCCCACTGAAGTATGAGATTATGTCTTGAGTGATAATCACAGCTGAATAACATGATTCCCATTTTTTAACCTGAAACGAGATATCAGTTGGCAGAACTACAATATGTAAAATTGGTTTTAGACACTGAATTCTTAAGAGGCTAAAGATATGCTCAACTAAAGCACCAGCAGCAGTAGTAGGGAAGAGAGAGGAGACTGGCCCATAAGTAAACACATATGGAGTAGCATTATAGGAAATAAAGGATAAACAACATCAGTTAATGCTGTAGCAATTACAGGGTAGGTTGGAAAAACAAGCATTAACCTATTTCTCAAGATTACAAGCATATGACAATTATTTTAAAATACTGTTCTTGGGTTTTGGTTATGAATGTGCTGAATTCTGAAAGAAAATATTTTCTTAACGGTGAGAAAAGTGAAGATTTTCATAAATAACTTACCTTAGTGGCTCGATTGGTCACAGGCCCTGGTTCACCCTCACTCAATTGCTGCAAGGACTTGTGGGTAATTGCAAATATTTGGTCATGTGATAACAAGTCTGAACACATGAGAGTGGAGAGAATACTCATTGACCTCTACAAGAAATAAAAGCATCAAATAGATTTTAAAAAGGGCAAAAACAAACCTCTAAACACAATATACAGACACAACTATTAAAGGCTGTATATCTGCCTCACTTTTCTTGTGAATAAGACATCCAGGCATTTAAATAATCACAAGCTGAAGGAATCAGAGATGTCAGTGAAGGTCCATGTTTACCAACTTCAGTCTAAACAATAATCATGTTCAGGAAGAACATCAACCTTCAGCAGGAGCCCCTGCTGAGTTGGTGGTGACTGTGGTTCTTTTAATTTTATGAAAACTCCATTAAAAGCACTGCTGCTCCAAAGTAGTTACAATAGTCCCTCTGCACATGTGAAATAAATCCTGAGCTTCAAACTACCAGGGAACTGTTTAGTATTACAAATGAGTTATTTTTCCAGGAGAGCGGAACAAAAATAGATTGGAATATCTTCTTATTCCTCTTCCATAAATTAACCTTTATTCCTAGATTAATCTGACATTATTTGAAATACACTGTCAGATATTTAAGTTTTTTTTGCTTCCAATTTTATTACTTGATGGCACGGTACTACCTCAGTACTGCAACTTCTATACAACTGGAAATGTTCAGTAAAGTGTCAAATCTAAGGATCATTCAAAAGTGGTTATCAGCATGACATTTTTTTGATTAGCAAGTCTGAGAAAAACGAGACATAAATTTATCTTATGCCACATTTCAAAGTGCTTAGTACATAATTATTTGCTATGAAACTTAAGAATTTAAAATAAACTTTTAAAGAAAATACCATGTTGACAGAGTGAGAAGGATCTTTTAGTTTCCCATTGAGAAGCTCCACAACCACTTCACAGTTCAGTAATCCACATCTAAATTTGATAAGAGAAAGATACTGCATAAAAACACAATGAATTTTACAAGAAATGTAGTCCCTGAACAAAGTTTAAAACTGTTCAGTTGGTAAATTGGTCACTGCTGAAATCATCTTTGAATACATTTTTCTTCAATAAATAGCAATGTTGTTTATTAGGCAAGGGTGATGTCGGATGGAGGATAATGGTGTAAGAATTTGTTACCAAAACGCACGACAGGCTTGATAGATTAGCTGGTATTTTTCTGTCACTTTTCTATTCACATTTGTTAATTTAAGACTTCATTTTTCATCACATTATAACCGAGTCAATTAATTCCTCAGAAGCATGGACAAATTAGGATCGAGCTTAGGATCAAATCCTGGAACTGCCTTCCAAGCACAACTGTGGATTTCCCTATACCAGATGGATTACTCAGTTCACCTTCTCAAGGGCAATTTGAGATGCTCCACAGATGCTGGCACATGATAGCATAAATAAAATCTATTTGCATGACCTAATTAAGTGATTTCACAGTTGTGCAAGTATCATTGTGAAACCAGTGGGGAATGCAACTACAGGATGAGCCTAAATTTAGATAGTTTAGCACAATGGATATTTTCCAGGGCAGCAATTTTGGAAGCTGTTCTGAGCTTCACATTACAGGCAGTTTTTTTAGTTTCTTTTTGAGAGAAGTATTTCAGAACAGGTCACACTGTGGTCTGATTCCAGAGCATTTTCTTAAGAACATGAGTGAGTATAATCAAAATGTCTTATTAAAACTCACAATTCAACACTTTAATCAGAGAAGACAAAGAATGCTGAATTAAAAAGGGCTATATTCCTGGATTTAACTCTAATGGGCACTGCAGTTTGCCACCCATTATCCATTACAGTGCAAGTCAGAAATTTAAAAGTCTGCTGCTTTCACTTATCCCAGAAATTCAAAGTGGTTTAATCAAAGGGCTCATTAATAGAACCATACTCACTCTTTGATAAAACGTTGCATTTCATCTCTAGTCAAAAATACTTTTGACCCTTGGATCAGGTTGTTTACCAAGGTTATTTCCTGAATGCAGTCATTGAGGTTTATTGATTCAACTCTATTGGATAGAAATCAGGCAGCTATCAGTTGAATCACCCAACTTAAATTCACAAAACATTCCTAAAATAAAATCAAGTTATGGTCTTGTTTATCTTGAAATGTTTACTGTATCATACTGAGACTATGATACTCACTGTTCCGATTTTAGGTAAGTATGAAGTTAAAAAAGGATGTGCTCATTATTGCATTTTAACTACTTTAAGTTATGACTTAAGAACTGAACATATTGGGAAGATGAACTGAACTTGTGGATGCATATATTTGTATTAACAGCTTACTATCAGAAAACTCAGACAAATGACTACTACTAAACATGGAAGTTTTAATTATGAGGATTTTTAATATTTCATAAGCTCCTGATCACAATGTATAGAATTACTGTCTGCTCTAATTTTCAATGCTGTGTAAAGATCCAATCAGACACTGATTGAAGGAGATGACTGAAACATGTTAAACATTTTCACACAAAAACCACAAAATAACAGAAAATAGATTTGCTGTACACAATTCTCAGTGCAAACAAGAAACTCTTTCAGCATGCTTTTATGTGCCCACATCTAACCGGTATGACTTTTTACAATGTTTTTGAATACAATTGTCACTGCATTGAGACCAGAAGATTGAACTTTCATTTCAAACGCACAAGTTTGTACTTATACCTAATTTCATTATAGTCTGGCACTAAAAACAGCTCATTATTAGTCTGTCAAATTTTCATTTACCTTTCCATCAAGTCTCCACTCTCTCTGCTGCCTCCTGATTGGCTGTCTGTACTTGTTTTACTGTTGCTGCCATCTGAGATACAATTAGTTTGTGAGGAATCCTGGGAACAGTGCCCACTATCACTTTCTTCCCAGCCTCCCCCTGGCAGACCAGGTTTATGATGAATCGCTGCAAAGGAAAATGAACCACAATAATACCAAAGCCAAAATCACACGAGAGCAAAACCTGCTCCTCTTCTATGTGCTATGTTCTAAACTTTTCAAGAGTCTGTGTTCGCTCTTCACTTTTATTACAAACCAAACAGCTTTTAATCAGTTAGTGAAAAAAAAATCTTCTGCTTCAGTCTTAGGTTAAATTTTAGTCAGCCTGACTCTGACTGGAGAATGAAAAACACACGGAATTACTTCAAGGTCTTTTATATTTGTCTAGAAGTGCATCATTCAAATATGAGTGTTCATGTATGAATTAACCCATTGTAACTTCTGAAGTTCAACTTGCCTTTTGTACCGTGTCTAGCAACAGGACATTTAGGAATTGGCTTCACTTGTTTTGCTTCAGAGTCAGTTGACAATACTGGCTGGTAGCCCTCAATATGATAACAGCTTCCACAACTTTTGGGGCAATCTTGAGGAAGTACAGCATTCGCCATAACCTCTGCTGCTTTCTGTATCTTATTAAAAATTGCATCACTGGAAGAACCTGATAATGATAGAAACATTATTTCTACATGCTGACCATGAATTAGAAGCAAGACTCATAGAAAAATATCTAGAAAATAGAAGTAGTAGAACATTTGGGCCTCCGAGGCTGCTCCTTCATTCAATATGATCGAGGCTGAATATCTAACTCAGTGCTCTGTTCCTGCTTTCTCCCCATACCCTTTGATCCCTTTAGCCCTGACAACTATATCTAAATCTTTCTTGGAAACATTGAATGTTTTGACCTCAATTGCTTTCTGCGGCAGAGAATTCCACAGGCTCACTGGTCTCTGGCTGAAGAAATCTTTCATTTCAGTCCTAAATGGCCTACCACACATCCTTAAACTGTGACCCATGGTTCTGGATTCCCTGGTCATCGGAACATTCTTACTGCATTTGCCTGGTCTAGTCCTGTTAAACTTTATAGGTTTCTATGAGATTCTACCCCTCATTTTTTTTAACTTTAGTGAGAATAGTCCTAAATGATCCAGTCCTGGCTGGTAAATCTTCATTGCAGTTGCTCCATAGTCAAAACCTTCTTTCTCAGATAAGGATCCCAGAACTGCACACAATACTCCAGGGTGTGGTCTCACCTGTACATGTGCAGCAAGACATCCTTGTTCCTGTAGTCAAATCCTTTCGTTATGAAGGCCAACATACCACTTGCCTCCTTCCTTGCATGTTGCACTTACATGCTAACTTTCAGCAACTGGTGCAGAAAGATATTCAGGTTTCATTGCACCTCCCCTTTCCCAAACTATCACCATTCAAACAATAATCTGCCTTCCTGCTTTTGTTCTCAAAGTGGATAAATGCACATTTATCGACATTCTTCTGCATCTGCCATCATTTGCCCACTCAATCAACTTGTTCACATCACACTGAGGAGTCTCTGCATCCCACCCACCCAGCTTTGTGTCGCCTCCAAACTTGGAGATATTAAATTTAGTTCCTTCATTTAAATCAATAATATATTGTAATAGCTGGGGTCCAAGAAATGAATCCTGCAGCACCCCACTATTCACAGTCTGCCACTTAGAGGAAGACCCATTTATTTCTACTCTGCTGGTGTTCTGTATCTATGCCTGTACACTAACACCCAATCCCATGTGCATGCTAATCTCTTATATGGGACCTTAACAAAAGCCTCTGAAAGCAAAAGTAAATCACATGCACTGGTTCCCACATATCAACCCTATTTGTCACATCCTCGAAAAATTACAGTAGAATTGTCAAGCATGATTCCTCCTTCATAAAGCCATTAGCAACCCTCCATTCCACAGAAGCTTCTTCAGAGTCTACAGAATGTTGAAAGATAACCACCAACGCATTCACTATTTTTAGGTCCACTTCCTTAAGTGCTCTGGGAACTCTCTGGGAGAGGCGATGGCCTACTGGTATTATCACTGGATTGTTAATCCACAGACTACCTAATTCTCAAAACCTGAGTTCCAATACCACCACAGCAGATGGTGGAATTTAACTTCAATAAAAAAAATTCGGAGTGTAAGAATGACCATGATTGTGGGGAAAAACCCACCTGGTTGACTAATGTCTGTAGGGAAGGAAACTGCCATCTTTTCCTCATCTGGCCTACATTTCCCTCTGGGAAATCAGGGATGGGCAATAAATGCTGGCCTAGCCAATGGTGTCACTAATCCATGAGTGAATAAAATAATTATCAAGCCCTAGGGATTTATTGACTTTAATCCCATCAATTTCCCCAACACCATTTACCTACTAATCCTGATTTCCTTCACTTCCTCCCTCTCACAAGACCCTATGTTCCTCAACATTTTTGGGAGGTTATTTGTGTCCTTTGTGAAATCAGAACCAATGTATGCATTTATTTGGTCTGCCATCTCTTCGTTCCCATTATAATTTCCCTCTTTGTGACTGTAAGAGATCTACATTTGGCTATCAAAGCTTTTGCAATCAGATTGTATGTTTCCTGCAATCTTAAACTTATACTCTATTCCTTTATTATTATATAATACAGTCTTTGATGGTCTCTAAGGAAAATACACAAAAACACTGCAGTTGCTCAAAATTGGAAACAAAAACAGAAATTGCTGGAAAATCTCAGGACTGGCAGCATCTGAACAGAGAAAGTTGAGTTAATGTTTCGGGTCCAGTGACCCTTTTTTAGAGCCTTTTCCAGTTGGTTTCTTTATTTATTGGTCCAGAAAGCAATCCTGTACACACTCCAGGAATTCCTCCTGTACAGTGCTGTAATTGATTTGCCCAGTCTATATGCAGATTAAGGTTGTCCACAACTACAGTTTATTGCTTGCATCTCTAATTTCCTGTTTAATGATTCCCCAACATTACCACTACAGTTTGGAGATTTATATACAACCCCAACTGATGCTTTCTGCCCCTTAGTGTGTCTAAAGTTTTACTAATATAGATTCTACTATACTAGAGCTAATAACCTTCCTTATTCACATTAATTATTTCTTTAACCAGCAATGCTACCATACTGTATTTTTGCTTTTTGTTTGTCCTTCCTAAAAACTGAGGAAAACTGGAAATTCATTTTCCATCCCTTGTCGCCACATCTCCATAATCCTAAATACATCATACCCATTTATACCTATTTGCAAGGATAATTCATGCAGTTTATTGCTAATTGTCTATGTATTAAGACACAAGGTCTTCAGGCCTTTTTAACATTCTAAGTCCTGTTCATATTACTTTGCACTGTGTTCTTGTTTGATTCTTGCCCTTTAATTTTCCATCATCACTTTTCTTGTTTCCCATTCTGTCTTTTATTTTTGTGCTTGTTTCCCTCTCCTCTCTCCCTGTATAGATTCCCATCCCCCTGCCATTTTAGTTTAAACCCTTCCAAACACAGTAGCAAATATTCCCTCTGGGACATCCGTTCCAGTCCTGGCCCAGGTGCAACCTGTGCAGCTTGTCCTGGTGCACCAGAACCAGTCCCAATGTCCTAGGAACCGAAACCCTCTCCCTCCCTTGCACCATCTCTCCAGCCACATATTCATTTGACTCACTAATGACCACAAGATATATGTTGAGACAAATTCAGTGTTGATAACTTCAGTTAAGTATAACATGGAAAATCACATTTTTACCATACTCCAAACTGTATTCTACTGGTATTGCCATCTCTATTTATGTAAATCTAGTTACGTGAAACAACTCTTTGGTGTGTCACCAATTTGTGCATTGGGAACCATTTATTTTTGTCATGTTACCCATTCCTGGGGCCAGCACATCAGAGATACATTATTTCACCCATTAATGTACCTCTGAGGCACGGTTAAGATTTGTGCAGAGAAATATGATATTTCTAAGTTTGGCCTCACTCCAATTATCATCAAATGACATTTGGAAAAATCATGAAATAGAGCTTCTGCCAGGATTTCCTAACTGAGACAGAAGAATGTACAATTCATGATTAAATTGCTGACAGCATTCTTTTAGATAAGGCTGAAGAACCCTGCAGTGGAAATCTGTTCCTGCACTTACCTGAAGGAATTTTCCCTGCTGTGTTCCCAAAGCCTTGCATTGCAGAGCCAGATGAAGGACTTGAGCCCATTCCTGTAGAAAACAAACATCAAAAATTAACTTCCCAATTAATTCCACTAATCTGTGTATTGCACCGTACTTGTAAAAGTATACTCAGAATACCGAATTAGCATTTGATCTTAAACTTAGATCAGTTCTTACACAATAAGGAATTTTAGTTGAAATGCCTTAAATAGTAAGCAAAACATTTGCTTGACCCAATCATTGTTATGAATTAAGTATGACTTGAAATTGGGAAGTTAAAGGATCCATGGGAAATTGTTTTGTTTAAGAAAGCAAAGGTTAGACAAACTTCAGTTTCCAACTTAAATTATTAGATGCCAAAACCCTCTACAATACCAACTTTTGAGAAAGAACTCACTGAGCAATTAAGAAATAGGAAAGACAAATAGAATCATAAATGTGCATTCATAATTGTATTTTACATATTAAATGTCAAAGAAATGTAAAATTAATCACAGGTTGATTTTGGATTCGCCTATTAAACATGAAAATGTGCCACTTCCCAGCATCTTGCTTATTATTGAGGAAGATGAATAATCAATTAGCAAAATTCAGTTTCTGTAAGGTTTAAAATAACAAATAAAGGCGACAATATAAATCAAGCAGCAACACTCAGAAGACATCAGAATTGGCTTAAAGTTTGCAAAGGTAACTAAGGCAGAGGGACATAAGGTCCCAAGGAAAGAGAAAACAAGACAAAGTAGGAAATATTATAGTGTGTAGATTTCTGCATTGTAAGAATGAAGGGAGGTAGGAAAGCCACAGTGGTTATGTTTTTAAAACAGGCACAAATCTGCAATAAAGAGAATTAAGTTTCATGTTAACTGAAAAGCAAAATATTATGAATCCTGGAATCAGATATAACAACAGAACATGCACTGTACTTTCATTCACAAACTCTGGTGGGTCCGCTTAGCATTTCCAGCATTTTTGGCTTTTATTTGAGTTAACTCTCCTTTGTTTACCAGATAGCTTACCCCAAGCAAATCTCATCTGTAACAAAATAAGAACCAAAACAACTGCAGATGTGTAAATCAGGAACAAAAACAGAAGTTGCTGGAAAAACTCAGCAGGTCTGGCAGCATCTATGAAGAAAAATCAGAGTTAATGTTTCAAGTCCAGTAACCCTTCCTCAGAACTGTGCTGGGGAAGACACCAGACCCAAAACATTAACTCTAATTTTCTTCACACATGCTGCCAGACATGCTGAGCTTTTCCAGCAACTTCTGTTCTTCTTTCTCATCTGTAACAATATTAGTTATTCCCCAAAATTGGAATCTTAGATTATTTCAAAGTGAGACAATTCTTCTTTACAAATCTTATAAATTTTAATTATCTCATTTAAAAATAAACAAGGAGGGAAGAGCTCATCGTCTACCGGTAGCGTCTCTACCTCTAAGCCAGTAAGTCCAGGTTCAAGTCCCGTTTATCCCACATATGTATCAGACCATGTCCAGCCAGGTTGATTGAAATAACAGGGGAGGCAATAGCCTAGTGGTATTATTGCTGGACTGTTAATCCAGAGACTCAGGTAATGTTCTGGGGACCTGGGTTCAAATCCCAACACCGCAGATGGTGGAATTTGAATTCAATAAATGTCTGGAAATAACAGTCAAATGATGACCATAAATCTATTGCTGATTGTCAAAAAAACCCATCTGGTTCACTAATGTCCTTTAGAGAAGGAAACTGCCATCCTTACCTGGTCTGGCCTACATGCAACTCCAAACCCACAGCAATGTGGTTGACTCTTAACCGGCCTCTGAGCAATTAGGAATGGGCAATGAATGCTGGCCTAGCCAATGACACCCTCATCTTGTGAATAAATGTTTTAAAAATCTGCAGCATTTTAGGATCTTGTGGCTTATGTTCCCTCTGGTTTGATTTCTGCTGCTACTGTGCAGACCTTCAGGGGCTGTGTGTGGCAATGACTTTTGTAAGCAGAAGTCAATGGGTCTGCACGCTGACTTGGTGTGTGCAGACCTCTGAACAGCCTTTAGAGGGAATGTGGCAGTGACACAGTGGTGTCTCTACCTTTGGGTCAGAAGGTCTGGGTTCAAGTCCAACCTGCTCCAGAGCTGTAAGGGGACATGTCTGAACAGGTCGTTTGAAACTTTCTATATAACCAGGGAAGGGCTTCTGTGTTCCTGTGGCAGTGTCCATACCAGAAGACCTGGGTTCAAGTCCCAACTGCTCCAGAGGAGTGTCATAAAATGTCCCAACAAGTTGATTAAAATAACTACATAAGCAGGGACAATGCAGACCAGAAGATATAGGAGCAGAAATAGGTCATTCAACCCACTGAGTCTGCTGGGCTAATATGTTTCCCAACCCATTCTCTTTCTTTCTCCCTGTAACCTTTGATCCCCTTTAGATTATTAAAAACATTGAACAATTTAAGTTTAAGCAGCAATTTATAGACTCCAACATTCAGTTTAAATTAGAGTGAACAGATGCATGAGAATAGGCCTAAATTTAGAAACTCATCAGTTTCTGATTTGAACAGATTTAGACCCTCCATTCTAACATCATGCCAGTTTTGTGCCATATAAAAATCAAAGTTTAAGCAGTTGCCATAATTTCCACTGTTTAAGATAAAATACAACAACTGTAGATTTCTTGAGGTCTTGCTCATCCTAACTATTCTGAGCCTTTTTCATCTCCATTCTTTCAGTCTAAAATGTTGCAGAAAAGGCAAGTGAATTTCATAATATACAGTTCATTACAGCTCTTAGCAGAAATTCACCAAGCTGGAACAATCTAATGGGAAGAAAGGTCCTGAGACAAAAAGTCCAGCAATCTTGCACCCACAGGTCACAGAATGCATTTCTCAACTTCTATCTCTCAGGTAGAGTGTTTACGAAACACGTGAACCACAAGCTTAATGAGCTATTACAGTTGAAAAACCCAATGTCTGAAAAACCATTTAAAAAAATCGGCAGATCGTCTGAAACATTGTCCATTTAATTTCTTTGAATACATTTCATAATTTGAAAAAAATTAGGCAATATTGGGATACAACTTCCTAGCCATTGGATTTTGCACAGTATTTTTTAAAATATGTTTTTAGCATGTAAAATGAAACCAAAACGGAGGCTGTGCCGTATCGTGCAAAAATGCTGAAATTCACACAAACAAACCCCAATTTTGAATTCAATGCCTTGTCTTGGACTATTTAGTGAATCTTAATGCATTAAAACCCTAAAACCACAGCACCTGACATTGAATAAATTAGTTTAATGAACTAAGCTAATATCTCCATGAAAAAATAAAGCAAATCACGGGAGAAAACAAATTGATTTCTATTTTTAAGAAGTTTTCTTTAGTATTTAAGAAAACAAAAACAAAGTTCATTTATTTTCAACACCCTAGTTTGTAGCATGTGCAACCTAGTTATCATGGTGACATTAATCTGTGTATAGAGTGGGCAAATAAATTAAACAAGTTTCTGGAGTGTCTCAGGGCTGGTTTTCTACAGTGACATGTTGAAGAGGTAAGTAGCAGACATGCTATTTTGGATCTAGTACTATGTAATAAAAAGGCGCCAATTTATTATTAATTAATAAGTAAATAATCTGGTTATAAAATAACCTTTACAGATGAGTGACCACAATAGGAGATAATTTTACATTATGTTTGAAAGCGAGGTACTTCAATCTGAAGCAAGTGTTAAATTTAAATGAGGGAAGTTATGAAGGCATGCGTACGCAGGGAAGCCTTTCAGATAACTATCATGTGGCTTACAGCAACTCTCCATTCCTTTAAAATGCAAAAACTCAAAAGTTTTGTCAACTGTGATTCACAACTATGTTATAAGATTAAAAGAAAATGCTTATAAAGTGGCCAGAAATAGTAATGAATCTAAGGTTTGGAAAGTTTTTAAAAATGCAGCAAAGGAGAATTAAGAAATTGATAGAGAAAGGAAGAACAGAATACGAATGCCGACTAGCAAAAAAAATATAAGATTGGCCTGTTAAAGTTTCTACATGTACATAAAAAGGTAACGTTTGCCTAAGATGAATGCAGGTCCATTAAAGCAGAATTAGGAGAGTTTATAAGGGGAATAAAGAAATGGCAAATAAGCTAAGTCATTATTTTGTATCTATTTTCACGGAAGAAGATACAAGAAATCTCCCAGAATTAGAGATCCAAGTGACTAGGGAAATTGAGGCGTTGAAAGAAATACTTATTAGTAATAAGGTTGCACTTGAGAAATTAATGGGGCTGAAAGTTGATAAGTCTCCAGGACTTAATAATTTATAGAATCATTAAATCCCTACAACGCGGAAGCAGGCTTTTCAGCCCACTGAGTCCGTACCGACCCTTCAGAGAGCATTCCCCTACTCCCCCCCGATAACCCGGCATTTCCCATGGCCAATCTACCTAGCCTGCACATCTTTAGACTGTGGGAGAAAACTGCAGCACCTGGAGGAAACCCACTCAGACACAGAATGTGTGCAAACTCCACACAGACAGTTGAGTGAGGGTTGAATCGAACTCAAGTCCTTGGCGTTGTGAGGCAGCAGTGCGATAGGGTTAACCTCTGAGTCACCACACCACCCTTTTATTCCTATACATGAGAAGTTTCATCATCCCAGAGTAGTTTACATCCCAGAGTATTGAAGGAGATGGCTATAGAGATAGTTGATGCGTTGGTAATCATCTTCCAAAATTCCATAAGTTCTGGGATGATTCCTGCAGATTGGATGTTTGCAAATATCACACCATTATTTACAAAAGGAGCAAGGGAAAAACAGGTAAAAACAGACCAGTCAGCTTTTCATAAGTAGTAGGAAGAATGGGACAAGCCATTATAAATGATATGGTATATACATACTTGGAAAAAAGTGATCTAATCAGGCACAGCCAGCCTGTATTTGTGCATGGAAAATAGTGTTAGACAAAATTGTTGGGGTTTTTTTTTGAGGCTATTACTGACAAAATTGATAAAGCGGAGTTGATAATGTGTAATGTTTGGATTTTCGAAGGCTGGTTAGAAAAATCAAAGCACTTGGTATAGAAGGCATGGATTAAAGGATTAGAATCAGCAAACAGAGATAGGAATAAATGAGTCATTGTCATATTGACAGATTGTGACTAGTGGAGTACTTCCAGGATCAGTGCTTGGGTCCCAGTTGTTCACAATATTTATGAATGATTTAGACACTGGGACCAAATGTTATATTTCCAAATTTGCAGATGATAAATCAAAGTAGTGTGTGACATGAGGAAGATGTAAAACGTTTTCAGGACGATCTCGACATGATAGGGCAAGAATATGGCAGGTGGAATATATGTGGAAAAATGTGAGGTTATCCACTTTGGTAGGAGAAACAGATGTGCAGCATACTTCTTACACGATGAGAGTATGGAAAGTTTGGATATACAAAGAGACTTTGGTCTCCTTGTCAATAAATCACTGACAGCTAACAAGCAGGTGCGGCAAACTATTAGGAAGGCTAATGGAATGTTAGCCTTTACTGCAAAAGGATTGAGCACAGAAGTGCATGCGAACCTGTTTAGACTGCACTTGGAGTATTGTAAGCAGTTTTTGTCTCTTTATCTCAGGAAAGATATTGTTATCATAGTGGGAGTACAATGAAGCTTCGTCAGACTTGTTCCCTGATGATGGAACTGTCCTAAGAGGAGAGATTGGGCAAGCTGGGCCTGTACTCTCTGGAGTTTTGAACAATGAGAGGTAATCTCATTGAAACATACAAAAATAACTGGGTAGATGCAGATAGGATGCTTCCCGATTGGGGAGCCTAGAATCAGGGCCACAAAAACAGGGGGTCGGCCGGCGGGGGGGGGGGGGGGGGGTTCTATTTAAGTCCAAAGAAAGAAGTATTTTAGTTTACTCAACAAGTGGTGAATCTTTGGAATTCTCTACTCCAGAGGGCTGTCGAAGTCAGAGTAAATTTAAAGTAGAGGTTGATTACATCAATAATAATCAAAAAGTTAAGCGTTGTGAGGATAGTGTGGGCAAAGACATTGAAGATTTCCAGTGCCATGATCATATTACATGGCATAGCAAGCTTGATGGATTGAGTGGCCTATGTTCTATGCTCCTATTACATACCATATATGACTCATAAGACACCTTGCTTTAAAAATAACCAGCTCCCTGTGATGGTGCTGCAAAGTGGACTCACACTGTATTTGAAACATTCACTCAGTTTTTCTTCCACTTATGCTGCCACATGTGCTGAGTTTCTCCTGCACTTTCTGTCTTTATTTCAGACTTCCACCCTCACAGAGTATTTTGCTTTTGTATAGGTTGTGGACATGACTACCCATAATATTCACAATTAGTTGACTGGAGTTTCTAATATAGTAACATTTCAATGCAAGAACGTATAAGATGAATTATAAAATTATTTGAGGCATCGTATATCTGACCAAATTTATGAACAACAAGATTTACCTGTTTGCAGATAAGATCTGGAAGAGGATAAATTGCACGAGGCTTGATATGGCAAAGCATCAGAGAACAACAAATTTGCTAATTCCTGCCAAGGGAAAAGTAGACATTAATCATTGGTCTCAGGGACTCCATGACCCATTTTCTGAGCATCTCTCAAAACATGCACATAAATTAATTAGCATGCACAGAACTAATACTTTCCAAGTACTGAACAACAGTCTTTTGAAAACAGTTAAAATGATTGGTAAACTATTTTGATTGAACCTAGACTCAAGAACGTAAATACCTCTGCAGTTGTTCGGACCCTCCGATATAGGGCATTTCCATGAAGCACATCTGGAGGCCCACTAAAAACTAGCAAGAAAAAAAATGCATTAAATAATCAAAAGCTACACAACAGGAAACTATAAACATTTTATAACCATTTTCTTTTCTGTTTCAAGTCATATAACAATTTAAAAATTAGGCATGCAAATTATCCTAGATATTTAGATATTTAATAAAGGACTAATTTAAATCATGAAAATACCTACAAAGAAACACTGCCAGGTAAGGAAAAGAGATTTGTGGTGCATGAAATAAACTTGAGCATCAACATTCTGGAATATTCAATGAAAATAATGAAAGAGCCTACTTCAACATTCTCTCTTTTGGTAATATCTGACTCTGAAGGTTGATCCTCAAATATTCTTCAACAGCCAGAATGGAGTACAAAAATGACTATAAACAATCATAATGGACAGAATATAATACAAGAGATGGGGGTTCTGCCTATCAGTTGGACAATTATCTTCAGAACAGCCAACTCTGTTACGAGGTAATTACAAACCTACCCAGTCAACGTTGGGTCTCCCATGCAATTAAGTCCTGAGCAATGCAGACATCCTATCACTTAGTGCTATGTGCCAATGCTAGGCCAGCAGCTCTCCAGCACCAGCAATGTCAACATGAGTGGTGGCCAATACTGGCAAAACACCCAGGCCTGCAGGAGGCATTGACCATGGATTTCTAGATGAAGAAGGTAAGTGCAGTTGGATTGGGAGTTGCAGGGAGGAGGTGGGGTTTGGAACTGGGCTGCTCAATTAGATATGGACTGGTTGAGAATGAAGAACCCCACTCCCCACATCATTAGATCAAGGATTTACTAGGCTGTCTTCCCACATGGTGTGTCCTCTATCCATCACTGTTTAACAAGGTCTTTAAGTAGCCACTTAATGGCCTCACTTGGTCTCCAGGTGAGACTACCCTTCCTGCTCTCAGCTCAATCAGACTGAGGCAAAAAGGTGACTGGGTCCTCACATCTGATCAAATGGTCACTCCTAAACTTGCTACTGGAGATGGATATAAATTCTATGTCACAGTAATGAATTTCTAACAGCCAGGACCTTTTCTCTATTTTTGTTCAGCTATCAATAATCACGAGTATAAATAATAGGCTGGTATTCCTTTTCATTAAGCTGTTATTTCTTCACTTCTCAACTAAATAGCTCTGATGCTATTTCCCATCTTTGCTGAAAGTTGATTTTGCTTCATGTCTTTGTATGTTTCAAAAATACTATCCAAGTAAGATTCTGATTATTATTACTCCTGGCATCTAGATGTCATTGCCTAAGCTCTAGTTTTATCTAATATCACCTGATTAAGTAATTTTACTTCACACTTTATTTAATCCTTTGTTCAAATTCATTACAGCACTGCAATTACACTATTCTTTCCTTTTTCTGATCCATTCTGAAGAGGAGATCTTCATAGGTCACATTCACTGACTTCAGCTTTTGTAAAAAAAAAATCAGTCTTGCTGGTCTATTTCTTTCTCCAACGTCTTTTGGCAATGAGGATTAAAATTTCCTTTTTTAGGTTGTACTTTCTAATTGATCGTCATGACTTACCTTTTTTAAAATCGTTCCACATTTTCATCTTAACCACATGATGCTTTCTTTGCTTTTTTGACAGTCATGGCCTTACTTGATACAACATCATTGTTTGCTCCAAGCCTTTACACAATGTCAATTGTCATCATAATATCATTGTCTTCAAATGACTTTTTAATCTGTATTTTTCCAAGACATTTTGGCCTATTTGTTTAATCTGGTAATATAGCAAAGCTCCTTTGTATCACAACCAACAGTCATAACTGATGTAATTATGATCTCATCCACAAATCATTGTGATTCAAAAATCTAATTTACCTAAACTCAAGTGGAGACAACCATATCTTAGATTGTTTTGTAGTGGAACGCAAATTACATTCAGAATAACTCTGTAGGAGGAGCGTCAAAAGTTTCATGGAGATTTTCCAGAAGACAGAAGATAAACCTATACCTAAACCTAAACCTATAATTTGTATTTTTAGCAATGCTTTAAGAAAACTTTACTTCATTTCTACAGAATGTCTTCATACATTGAATTCAGTTACATACTGAAACTTAGAAATATTGCATTTTTTATGAACTTACAACTTCTGTTAAAAATCTCTTCCTTGACACACCTTACCTCTTCCTCTTCAAATCATCAGGAATCATTTTAAATGGTCAACTGATAGTTGGTGAAGGTTAGATTGAGATATTCTGCTCATCAGCAGGATTTTTTAAAAAATTATTCATTCAGAGGAATGTGGACATCACTAAGCTTGGTGAATGTTTATTGCCAATCCCCAAATGCTTGAGACAGTAGTGGTGAGCCACCTTATTGTACTGCTGCAGTACATATGATGTAGGTACATTATTGTGCTATTAGGAAGGGAGCTCCAGAATTTTGACTCAGTGGCACTGAAGGAACAGCAAAATATTTCCAAAACAGCCCTGAGTGGCTTCGAGGGGCCTTGTAGTTGGCGCATCTACTGTTCTGTCCTCCTAGACAGTAAAGGTGACAGATTTGGAAGATGCTGTTGAAGATAGCTTGGTGAGTTGCTGTAGTGCATTTTGTAGATGGTATACACTACTACCACTGTGTATCAGTGGCAGTGAATGTTTAAGGTAGTGGATAGGGTGTCAATCAAGGGGATGCTTCTCTTCAATAACGTTGAATTTAAAGTGTTGCTGGAATTGGACTCATCCAGGAGGGTATGCTATCAGACTGATTATTTAAGTAGAGCAGATAGTAAACAGGCTTTGGGGCGTTACTCACCAAAAAATTCCCAGCCTCTGACTTTTTCTTGCAGCCACTGTATTTATATGGCTAGATCAGTTTGGTTTCTGATTAACAAAAACTTCCAGGACTCTCTTTTGTTGGAAACTGTAATTATCCATGATTTACATGGTGCAAATGTTGGTTGTCACTTAACTGCCAAAGTCTGGATGTTATCCAGGTACTGCTGCTTACAGACACCACTGCTTCTATAGCGGACGAATTGCTACAGATGACAAACTTTGCTGCATTAATTTCTCCAAATACTGTCAATATCCTGGGACAGAGATGATTGACTAACAACGATAACTATCTTCCTTTGTGTAACGTATGACTCCAGTTTTACTAGGGCTCCTTGATGTCACGTTCAGTCACCTTCTGACTTGATGTCAAGAACACTCAAGTCTCATCTCAACTTTTGATTTCAGCACTCCTTGTCTGTGCTTGGACCAAAGCTGTAATGAGGTCAAGAGCTGCGTAGCCTTGATGGAACCCAAACTGAGCATCACTAAACAAGTTATTGCTGAGTAAGTGCCACTTGATAGCATTGTCAATGACACCTTCCATCACTTTGTTGATGATTGTGAGCAGACTAATGGGGTGCTAATCAACCAAGTTGGATTTCTTCTGCTTTTTGTAGACAGGATAGAGCTGGGCAATGTTCCACACTAATGAGTAAATGCTAGCGTTGTAACTGAAATTGAACAGCTTGGATCAGTTAGCTTCAGAACATCAGTCTTCAAAAGAATTCCTGGAATGTTGTCATAGATTGAGTATCCAATCAAATCGGCTGAAGAGTTCATCTGTGATGTTGGAGTCCTGAGGGACTGTGCATTATCCTGATTACTTGCCTTCCTATTTTTGTCTCAACCACAAACTTAGTAATAGTACAGTCACAATGTCACCAAGTCATTAATATGTTGTAAATAACTGCTGCCCCAGCACTGATCCTTGCGGTACTATACCAAGTTAAAATGTCTTCTTGAAGATGTCTCCTTTATCCCACTTCTCTGTCTTCTATTAGTTGTCCAAACCTCCATCAAAGCTAATATACTACTCCCAACACAAAGAGTTCTTATCTTATTAAGGAGCCTTATGGACAATATCTTACAGAATGCTTTTTGGATCTGCAAATGTATCATATCTATACATTTGTCTTTATCAATCCAGCTTGCTAACTCCCTGAGGAATTCTAATAAATGCATCAGGTATGATTTCCCATTTATCAAGCCATGATGACTTCTTGATTATCTTATGTATTTCTAAATGGTCTACTATTGCATCCTTTATAATAGATTCTATTAGTTTCCCAGTGACCAATATTAAGATAGTTAATAGCATGTCAACAGTTAACAGATTTTTTTACCTCCCTTCCTTTTCAAGTAAAGGTACTATATTGATAGCTGTCCAATCCACTGGGGCATTCCTGGATTTAAAGATTCTAGGAAGATTAATACCAGTGCATTCACTATCTCTGTAGCTGCTTTCTTTAAAATGCAAAGGTGAAACCCATCAGGTTAAGGGGACTTGATGGTCATTATTTCCATTAGTTTCCCTAGTACTTTCTCCTCTAGTGATAGTTATTGTGATTATTTCTATTCCCTCAACCCAACCCCTTTAGCCCTTGATCATCTAGTATTTTTGAAATGCTCTTAAGTATCCTCTACCATGAAAACTGATGCAATGTAATTATTCAATTCCTCTGCCATCTCCTGGTTCCCAACTATTATTTCCCCAGCCCTGTTCTATAAGAGGACTATGTTCACTTTGGTCTCTGTCTTCTTTTGTATACATTTAGAGAAGCTCTTACTGTCTGTTTTCATATACTTGCTAATTCATTCTCTCCCATTTTTCGGTCATTTTTGTTGGTTTTTAAAACTTTCCCAATCCCCCAGTATACTAGTAATATTTGCCACATTGTTTTGTTTCTTTTCTTTCAGCTTTATATATCTGTAACCTCCTTGTTTAACCATGGTCGATTCATCGTCTTGCTAGAACTAATCTTCATCACTGGGATATATCACTGCAAGTCATGAACTATTTTCTTAAATGTCTGCCATTGCTCATTAACTCTTTTTTCTACTACTCTCTGTTCTCAATCCACTGAGCCAACTCTGCCCTCATCCTTACTAAATTAGCCATATTTATGTTTAGCACAATTGTTTCCAAACCAAGTTTCTCACTCCCAAACCGAATGTTATTATCATTATTCCCAACAGGATCTTTTA